AGGAGAGAGAGAGAGAGAGAGAGAGAGAGAGAGAGAGAGAGAGAGAGAGAGAGAGAGAGAGTTCGGACGTGATGGAGGCAATTGTGTAATTTCGTGATTGTGGGAGGCACTTCGTACAATTGGTGGATCCTTGCAAAAAGAGAGGAGTGGGCTGAGAAATGTGCAAGTAGCCGCTTTTCGTGGCGAATCCTTGTGTGTACCTGCGCTATCGCCTGGTCCACAGTTTCTGAACCTTTTGATGAATATCATTAACTCTTGAAGCTGGGTGTCCATGGAAGCGATCACCTTTCTTCCACTTCTGTCAGGTGTCGATTTCAAAAGTATCCATGGAAGAGATCACCTTTCTTCCACTTCTGTCGGTTGTGGATTTCAAATTTCAACTCGTGATATGGCTGCTACGTGAAGAAAACTGATTGCTGATCCAGTCATAGGATATCTGCTGTTCTCTCCTGTTGTCTCCTCCGACAGAAAAGGCGAGGGTTCCTTCTCAGAAGCTCAATGTCGTATGAGATGTCAAGCGCTGGTCGATTGAAGCTAAAAGGGATGGCCCTAGCAGTTGAGGGAGGCATGAAGAAGAAGAAGAAGAAGAAAAAGAAGCAGCAACAGCAGCAGGCCCTCTTTGAAGCTGGAGAGGGAGGCAGTGGCGGTAGCGATTCTTCGAAAGCTGTCTCCGGAGGCGAACTGGTGGTTGTAAAGGAGGATGCAAAAGAAATCAGCAACACTGGACAAGATGGCGCGTTTGAGGGAAGTGGTAGTGGCAATCAGCAGGCAGAGGTCTTGGATCTCCGGACGCCTGCTGAGAAACGATACCATGAACAACTGGACAGGATGGAGACAAAAAGGGTCGGTAAGCTGGCAACGAAGTCACACCGGCAGAAGATAGAGGAATTCAACCAGTATCTCGCAAATCTTAGTGAGCATTATGACATTCCCAAGGTCGGGCCAGGATAAGAGCTCTACCCTTGTGTGCCTGTGCCGGCTGCTGCTCCTGTTTGTTCCGGTGTGCTTGTGTGCATGTGTGTGTGTGTGTGTGTGTGTGTGTGTGTGTGTGTGTGTGTGTGTGTGTGTGTGTGTGTGAGAGAGAGAGAGTGTGNTGTGTGTGTGTGTGTGTGTGTGTGTGTGTGTGTGTGTGTGTGTGTGTGTGTGAGAGAGAGAGAGAGAGAGAGAGAGAGAGAGAGAGAGAGAGATTCTGGTGTATGCACACACACACTGGACCAGCGATGTGTTGCCGAGAAAGGACAAGGCAGACTGCAGATTTTGTGTTGCTTCTTGTGATAGAGAGATATGCAGTATGCTGTGTCATTGTGAGGTGTAATGGTGCCCACGCATAGTTGTGGTTTTAGACTTCAGTTAAGGTAGTGGAAGGTTAGGTATTCGTTTGAAGATCAGGGACTGTGTAATCTTTGAAGTAGACTAGAATCCAGAGAAGGCATGTGGCGTTCGTTATGATCTGAAACAAGGTTGTACCAGACTCTGTGACCGGGGTGCCATCACCGTGAACTCTCAGAGGACTGCGAAGTCTGTTCAATTATGTCCTGACAGCAGCTGTTGTCCTTGTCCTTGTCATTGTGACTCTGCACAATTCTGGCTGTTCTCGACTAAATGATTGAAAATCGTCAATCCTTCAATCCCTTTCCGTACTCAGCTGCAGTCCTGGACTCAGGAGAATCAACCTCCTGTCCGCCCCTCCATTTTGCTTCTTGTCCCCCTTTTTCTTGGCGTGTTATGACTATCGCCTTCTGTCCATGGTTCAGAAATAGGTAAAGAGAGTAGCCCCTGTTTAACAAGTATGTGAATGGTGATGTCCCAGATCAGGGTTAGCTGGACTGAAAAATGCGGAAATGGTTTTGCCAAATGTGGTGTATAGTCTTGGACTTGACAGTGTCCTGCTGATCTGGCCACTGCTTGTGACCCCTAAACTGAACACAGTCAGCTCATCCGGACAGAGATTAGCTACAAACGTAGTACTTTGGTGCGTGGAAGCTGTGATTGATTGGCCTCATCAGCTGAAAAGTGTGTCATTTAATCAAATTTGCCCGTTGGAATGGCCATCACGACAGCATAAGGCATACTTCTTTAGGGGGCTCCATCACGACAGCAACAGGAGCAGGCAAATGGCTGCATGCGTTTGAACATCTGCTTCAGTTCCTGCCAATCGGCCATCTCTTAGAGTCTGCGTGCCCATGCGATGGGTGGGTAATATGGGAAGGGGGGTGGGAGGGCAACGAAGTGCCCAAAGTATCCCAGAAAGTGTTATGCTGTTTGTCGGAGTTTTGGTGGAGTACATTGTAGTTTGTGTACAACTGACACGGCAACAGCTTTGAAGCATGGAACACAGGATATGTGTGGAGGTGTACTGGGATCTCTATAGTGTATGATGGTCCATCCTCTCCGCCCTTGACTTCTAGAACCGACCACGGTCCTCTATATGCAGGCAGTAACTTCTGCAAGATGTTTTCTTCAGGCGCGAACTCCTTTGCCTTGACCCAGACTAAGTCGCCTACCTGAAACTGCGACGGTCGGCGGTGTTTATTAGCTTGCTCTATCATTCTATGCTGGGCCTTCCGTAGGTTGTCAACAACAGTGGCTAATTCCTTATCGTGCTGTATTGCAAACTCCCTGGTACCGGGCGGTAGCCTGTGAATCTGATCCCGGTTCAGTCCTTCGAACGGTCTGCGTGGTCTAAAGGACTTGTGCAGCTCATTGGGAGTGCGGCAGGTGGATAGATGCACGCTGTTGTTGTATGCGCTAGCTACCTTAGGCAACATCTCATCCCAGTTGATTTGATCTGGTCTAATGTACATGCGCAGAACTTGCTGTAGGATCTTATTCATCTGTTCTGTCTGGCCGTTGGTTTCTGGATGACGGCCATATGACATTAACAACTTGGATCCGTACACTCTCATGAGTTCTTGCCAGTTCTGGCTGGTAAAGCGACTATCTCTATCGCTGACTATTGACAATGGGATTCCATTCTCACTAACCCAAAAGTCAAAGAACTTCTGTATCACTAAGTTTGTACGTGCCTCTGAAGGCAAAGGAACAAAGACTGCGTATTTACTAAAGCGGTCAACTACGACCATGACTTGGCTCTTACCATTTCTGCTCTTGACTTGGGTGTCCATGAAGTCTATAGACACTGAGTCGCCCGACTGATCCGGAATAGGCAAGGGTCTGAGAAGACCAAGGGTTGCGCGTGTAGTAGTCTTGTTACGCTGGCATGCTTTACAACTGCGGACATACTCGATGCAATCGTTCTTCAGTCCTGGCCAGGTATACGCATGCATCAGATTGGCTAGTCTTTTGCCAACCGAAATGTCCCTCTGTATCATGGCATTCCCCTAAGATTAAACTACGGATCTCCTCGCTGTTGGGAACGCACAGGCGGTCAAACACATTAGTCTTCTCAAACAACAACCCATCTGTAGTGCGGTAATCTGGTTCGGTCTCTGGGGCCTCCCTAACTCTCTTTAGGAGGTCGCTATAGATAGGGTCCTGTGCATACGCTTGCTTCACTTTCTCCTGCAGGTCTCTCCCTTTGTCCAGATAGTGTACTACGACTCCAAAGTAGTCTGATCTCCTACTCAGAGCATCCGCAACTACGTTGTACTTGCCCTTCACTGGCTTGAGCTCAAAGTCAAATTGGTCTATCTCTGCGGCCCACCTAGTCAACTTAGGTGTCATCTTGGCCTGAGTCTTTAACCATCTAAGCGTTTCATGGTCCAAATACACCTTGAAGTGCCTCCCAAGCCCAAATCCTCCCAGGGCCTGCCCTGTGGCAAGCCTGGGTGCCATCCACCTTGAGGTGCCCTTCCACCTCCTCGCTGTGGGGACCCGAAATGAACCTTGGCGATTTGACGGGGGACCTTGACCCCTTCCTCCCGCTTGGCGGTTTCCTTGGCCGCCAACCCCCTGAGCGGCAGATCCTCGGCCTCCATTGGCCTGGCCCCTTTGGCCTCCTCCTCTACCTTGTGGCTTCTCTCCAGCCGCGACAGCAGCGTAAGACCTCCCCCGCCCTACACTACTGTCCTCCTCCCCGAGGCCCCACTCAATCTGATCATATGGGACCTCGTCTGTACCACCTTCCTCTAACGTTAGGATCAAGTGATCCTTGGCCTTGACTTGGCCTGAGATGGTACGATCCTTCCACTTTTTCCCCTTCTCCAGGTCCTTATGCCAGAAAGTGGTGACTGGCATAGACTTTGACTCGAACAGGACCATTTCTCTACTCAGCGCATCATAGGTGATGCCGGCCTGTTCAGTCTTATTAAAGCAGTGCCCCCTCAAGGACTCGGGCATGGCACGATAAAACAATTGGACCAGTTGGGTCTCAGTGACCCCATGGTCTGGGACGGCCACCAGGTCGTCCATAACGCCTTTGAGTGCCTTGGCACTCCTCCATTGTCGTGAGTGGATCATTTGCTGTTTGTCGGAGGCGCGAATGCCTCTTGTTGGGTCAGCGAACCGCTCCCGTTGGAGCTTGAGGAAGTGCGGGAGGGAGGTAACCGTGGAATAAGCAACCATGTTATTATCATAACCGACTGCGCGCGCGAGGGATCGAGCAAAACTGGTCGCTTCATCTTTGAGGGCCTGGAAGGCGAGGAGGACTTGTTCCTCAGTCAAAATGTGCTGTAAATATATATAACTATTCACGTTCGCCTCCCAGTTATCAAAATTCTCCTCCTTCTTTCCCCCATAGGCGTCGGGGAACTTCAACTTGACAGGCTCCTTATGGGGCCTGGGTCCACCCTCTACAACGGCTATGGCTTTGGCACCTTCAATGGCACCTTCGCAATATTTCCCTACGTTGTCCTTTATCTGTTTGAATTCGCCCCCGATGTGGGTGACGATATCGCGCGCAAAGTCTCTAAATCCGGACCGCATGGCACTCAACGCCACATCCTGACTCCAACTAGCCTGTCGTTCTTCCATCCAGGCCTTGCTCAGGACCTCTAGGTAGCCCAGCACCTTATCCCACTTCGCCTTGTCATCAGGCTGGGCCTCCACCTCTTTCCTATATTCCTGCACTTTTGCCACTGCTGCGGTCATTTCACCTAATTCTTCTCTCCTCCTCCTCTTCTCCCTCTTCATCCTCAACTTCCATTGCAACTTCTGCTCGTCTTCCCTCTCTTCGCTCCATAGGGTCCGCCATGGCTGCCAGCTCGGCGGCTAACGCAGCCTTCTCGTCTTCAGTCACATAGGACTGCATCTCCTCATGCCCTCCCAACGATAAATTAGCAACCCACTCACTGATCTTCTTTTCTATCTCAGCATCCCTATCCACCTTCGTGCCACTAGACCCTGCTTCACTCTCAATCTTCTTTCTCTCTCTTTCTTCCTCTGCTGCCGCTTCTTCTTCAGCAGCCTTCTTTTTCTTCTCCATCTCCTCCTCTATCTCCTTCATCTTCGTCGCCTGCTCATCTGCGATAACTTTTAACTTCGCCTGCTTTTCACGCTCTTTTCTCTCCCTGTTTTCTTTCACTAAGGCGGCCATCTTCTCTTGCTGCTCCTTGCTATAGGGGCTAGTCTCTAACCCAGTACGGGTCTTAACCATGGTGATAAGCGTACAACGGGGTTAGTGGTTCCAAACCTCACCACGTAGACTCTGACCCCTGACTGACAAACCTATTGACTCAGTCTAATGACACACAAAATCCTGACAGGGATCCTGCCAACTAGGGTCTCTAGCCTAGACCTATGCTATGGCTGTCACTACTGAACCAGTGGCTGATCTGGAGGCATTTAAGGAGATCCCCCGTAACTCCTCAAGAATTCTTTAACGTCGCAGACAGGACGACGTGATCAGCTTGGTTCTGCCTGTGCTTTCAGCCCACAACTCAGCCTTTCCGGCCTACTGTGCCACACCGAGCAGCCCGCCGGTCTGTACCGGTCCTTGGGAGGGTTCGTATCCCACGGGACAGTCGAGTCGTCAGACACAAATCATCAGCCTTACTTGGTCCGGTAGGGGAGTGGTTCAAACAGGCCCTCAGCACTTAAAGACTGCCTGGTGTGTCAGCCCTAACTGCCGTTCAGGCCCACTGAGTCCTACCAGCCGGTCAGCACCGGTCCTTGGGAGGGTTATGCCCCCCTGGAAAGTTGGATCAACCACAGTCTTAGCCCTACAAGGTCAGACTAGGGTTTCGTCATCCAAGCCCTACATCCACAGAGTGCTATCACCTTGGACAGAAGAGACTCGATGTAGAAAGAATAGACAGACTGACTTGACTCAGCAAGTACCGGGGGGTGTGTGCACATCCATAGGGCGAGGGGTAGGCTGAAGGCTTGGCGAGATATTACCAACTCCAGCTTGGTCAAAGTCTTGGTCAATGATCTTGGTCAACGCCGGTCAACGCTGCGGTCAACCCTTGGTCAACCCCGGTCAACGCCGGTCAACGCCTCTGGTCAACCCTCCGGTCAGCTATGGCTGCCAGCTCGTCTTCCTCGCCAACCCTCTTCTTCTTCTTCACCTTCCTTGCCTCCTTTCACCCCGCTGTCCTCTGCTTCTCTTTCTCTTTTTTTTTTTTTTTTTTTTTTTTTGCTCGGCCTCGTCTTCACCTCTTGGCTATGGCCGCTCCTTCTACCTCCTCGGTCTCTCCCCCTCTGTCCTTCTCCCTCCTACTTCGTCACTCCGTGGTACAGGCTGCGCGGCTATGGCCGCTGTCTTCTCCGTCGTGGACTGCGCAGCAACTTCACAGGTACGTAACAGCCAATCTTGTATTGTTCATCTCTCTCTCTCTCTCTCTCTCTCTCTCTCTCTCTCTCTCTCTCTCTCTCTCTCTCTCTCTCTCTCTCTCTCTCTCTCTCTCTCT